CTGTATACAGGGGTATCAGTCCCGTGGGCCACATGTGGCCCAGGATAGCTATGAATGTGCCCCAACACAAAATCATAAATTTACTTAAAACCCTTTTTTGTGTTCATCAGTTTTCATTAGTGTTTGTGTATTTAATGTGTGGCCCAATAAGACAGCTTTTCTTCCAGTGCAGCTCAGAGATGCCAAAAGGCTGGACACCCCTGTTACAATGCTTTATTCTCCACTTGATGGACATTTAGGTTATTTCCATTTTTTTCTTATTAACAATTCTGCAGTAGTTATTATTAGACCTGTATCTTTTTGTATGTGTACAAAAGTCTGGGCTATATACGTGGAAATGGAATTCCTGGGTGTTGGGATATACATCTTTAATTTTATTAGTTGCTGCCAAATTATTCTCCGAAGCAGTTGTATTAACTCTTATCAGCTGTGTAAAAGGTCCCAGTTCTTCTTGTTGCATACTTTCTCCAGCATTTGGCGGTATTGGACTTTCTTTAATTGCTTGATATGTAGGATCTGTTGATTTTTCCCTCATTACCCATATTGAAATATAATTTACATGCAATAAAATTGACCCATATTATGTGTACAATTTGATTGAATTTTTAATAATTGTATAAAGTAATATATTCATCACTACAATCAAGATATGAAACATTTCCATTAGGCTCAAAGGTTTCCTCATGCCTCTGCCATCTTCCCCTCACCAACACTTGGCCATCTCAACCACTAAGCAGCTTTTTGTCGCTATAGTTTTGCCTTTTCTGGAATGTCATATAAATGCAATCATGCAGTGAGTAGTCTTTTGTGTTGGACTTCTTTCACTTGCATGTTTTTGATTCATAACCACTATACCAAATTTTATATGAGTATGTCCATCCATTGGTTAGAGGATATTTGTGTTGTTTTTAGTTTGGGGCAGTTATAATGACTTAGTTGATTTTTTTAATTACTGATATTCAGCAGTCTTGCTGAACTCTAATTTGAATAATTTGACTTTCTTGGATTTTTCTATAGGCAATTATATTCTTTACACATGTCAGTCTTTTGGGTTCTTTTCTAAACATTGTATCTGTTCCTGTTCTTGTCATTTGTGTACTAGCTAAGATCTCTAGCACAGTGTTGAAGGGATAACAAAGAATCAGTTTTGGCTCTAAATTGCTTAAGATATTCCTGACTTGAAGGGTATGATGTAAGTCTGAAGTTTTACCATTTAAGTATGAGGTTTGCTGTAAGTTTTTGATGGTTAGTTTCATTCATGTTAAAGAATTTCACTGCTTCCTAGTTTGCAAAGGGATTTTATTATGAATGGGAGATGGAGTTTGTGCAGTACATTTTCTGCATATTTTGAGATAGTCGTGGTTTTTTTTTCTTGCATTTTATGTGACTTTTAATTTTTTTTATTAAAAAAATTTAAATTTTAATTTTTAGACAGAAGGGAGGGGAGGGAGAAAGAGAGGGAGAAAAACATAAATGTGTGGCTCTCTCTCATGCCCTCCCACTTGGGACCTGGTCTACAACCCAGGCATGTGCCCTTACTGGGAATCAAACTGGTGACCCTTTGGTTTGCTGGCCAGTGCTCAATCCACTGAGCCACACCAGGCTGGGCTGTGTGTGACTTTTTCTTTAAGCTTACTCTTTCAAGTGTTAAAATTTAATAATTTCAAATTACTTAATAAATTACTTAGATTAAAACTATCTTGAAAATACTTTAATGCCTCTCTATGACTCAAGTTGTATTATGGCATGTCATTTATTTGTCATGCATAATGTTATTTTTGGCTCTAAATTGCTTAACATATGAACCATGTCTTAATCACACTTGAATTTCCCATAGGATCTAATACAGTACATTGCAAGTAATAGGCCCTTAATAAATGTCAAACTGGGCTAAGTACTTAGGGCTAATATTCTTTGTTAAGTAGCCACTGTATGTCATGAATTCTTATGTTGCTCCCACCATATCATTATACTGCCTGATGATACAACTTTATGGGTCATTAAAAAAAAGTTTAAAAAAAATCTGAGTAAATTTCATTTACTCATCAAATATTTGTTGAGTACCAACTAAGTGCCAAGGTTGGTTGCAAGCTACCAGTACAGACATGTATTACCTAATGATGGGGATCCATCCGAGAAATGTGTTAGGCAGTTTTGTTGTTGTGTGAACATTATAGAGCAGGGATTTTCAGCCTTTTTACATCTCATGGCACACATAAACTAATTAATAAAATTCTGCATGAGGCAACATACTCAAAATATCCAAGCAATTAAGTTATTGGTGAAAATGAATAATACGTCTTTTGTTTTATGGAAAAAACTAAATGGACTTTTTGGCCAACCCAATTAAGAAAGCGTGCACTCTAAGGTAACGATAAAAAGTATACTATAGTAAATAAATAAACTGGTAACGTTGCTGTTTATTATCATTATCAAGTATTATATACTGTATATAATTTTATGTGCTGTACTTTTATATAACTGGCAGTATAGTAGGTTTGTTTACACCAGTATCACCACAGCACAGGAATAACACATTGCTTTATGACAGCTATGCAGTCACTAGCCTATGGCAATTTTTCAGCTCCATTATAATCATATGGGACCACATTTGTATATGTACATCCTTGATGGAAATGTCATGAAGCACATGCCTGTATGACTGTAATATAAAATGAATATGAATGGATATTTATAAGAACCTTGTAGCCTAATAGGGAGAGATAAGATCTGTATGTGAGTTACTATAATGCAAGGTAGAAAGTGATCACTATAAATTTACAGAAGAAAAAAGACATTAGATGAGCTTCAAATACCTAATAGCATTTCATGACTTTGGGTCTATCATTTAGCAATTCAAAGATTTTTATTTTCTGATTCTCAAGCTGTGGTTCACATTGTTGAGGTGTTGAACAAATGGCTTATGGATAAATATTTTTATAAATAAATTCTTTGAGAAATTTAAATTTTTTGTTTTATTGTCATAGTCTTAAAATGTGCTTTTTGTTAGTTTGTTCATTTGTTCTTTAGTTTAAACAAAAACATTTATGTCTTACAGTCTAGAGGCTGGGAAGTCCCAGATCGAGGTGTAGTGAGATTCACTTCTGGTGAGAGCCTGCTTCCTGATTTGTAGATAGTTGTCTTCTCTTTGTATTCTCACATGGCGGAGAGCAGAGACCTAAAAGGTGATTTTTTAGTGAGCATGAGAATTCAAACTCCATAGCATGGCATACACACTCACTTTTTGATCTAGTTAACCTCTCCATTCTCATCTTATTCCCCTTTCTAACATATTAGGCACTCCAGCTGTAACACATGTGGCCCTTGGAGATGCACATTCTAGTTTCATGATTTCATTTATTTTTTTGCCCTACATATAATGCCCTTTAACTCTGTCTTCTGCATGGGTAATAGATATTTGTCCTTAAACATCCCATTCCAGTATTTTTTCCCTGGAAAGTCTTCCCTAAACAATATCATCCCTTCTGTGTTCTCTAAATTCTGTTAGAACCCATATCATCATACCTATGTTCTTTCTGCATATTTATTTCCCAGGCTGATTTTGAATGATTTCTTCTTGACAGAGGCTATATATATAACTAGTGTCTAGAACATAGTGACATTCTTGGAATTATTGTTTGGTGACCAGTTAAAAATGATATACCAGAGGCCTTGCCATCAATTTGGTAGGGCTGCATATCTTTTACAAGTGTCTGCCCATGCTCTTTGGCCATTCCGTTATGTGCTAGTAGAAAAGAGAGCCTGCCAAATGGTGGGTGTTGTATGTATGTTTGACTGTGTCTACAGTTGATACCAAATGTTTACAAATAACTATTTCTGTCCCTTCTCTCTGCCTCCAACCTAAAATTAATTATACTAGAAACTATTTCTTATCTCCCTGGGTATTATGTCAGTCACATAAGGACTCAAGCAAAACACTGTATTTTATCATGTAATTGTCTTATTACCTTATGACTTCATGGAATGCTTATAACTTTTTATTCACAGGTGGAATATCTTATATGGCTTAATAAATTCTCCTAATCTTATTTTCATTACAAACTACTCCCTTGCAGTGTCCTCATTGTCTTATGTATCTGGTACATTGATAAGTACGCCTACTACAGCAAAGTATTGTAGAACACTCGCACAGTTTAGTGGTAAGACCATCATATATTTTGCAGTGTTCCGTCCCCCTGATACTTTCATTACCCACCTGGCACCATACATAGTCATTGCAATGTTATTAACTAGATTATTTCTTGAGCCAGTAGTAATGTAATGCCAGCAGTGAATCTCCTTTGTCTGATGTTTGCACATGAAACTAGGTACAAATAAGAGATTAGTTATTACTTTGAAGTGACAAAGAGGAGGAAACTGAGTTAGGAGGGAAAAAGGAGTATCTCAGAACTTGACCCCAGAAGGCATTCTAATGTTCAGTTATTTCCTTGAGTGAATCAAAATCCCAACAGTTGTTATATTAGTTATGTATCTTGACTCTATAAGGGGTTTTTTTTAATTGGATCTTTCTCCCCCTCACCCCACCCATTGAATCTTTCCTATGCCATTCTTCTTATTTGAAGATATCCTAGACAGTTTTTCTACTGCAAATAATTATACCCTGAAGTTGTAATATACAAGGCTCAGCACCATAATATTTCATGACTAAGTTGTGTTGTCACCTTTTCTGAATTTTTATATGTCAAGATATATTAATCACCAAATGCTGTACACAGAAAATAGAAATTATGGAGTATGCTATTGCTATAGAGATATGGATAGCAGGTGGAGTGTATCTCCCAAGGGACTGGTTTCTTAGCTCCAGAGGCATTATGATGAGACTTAGCGCCGCCACTTTGATCTTGATTAGACACCTGACTCCTTGGTCTTTTTATCTTTGTTTATAAAACAATAATCATTAGGGTTTCTTTCAGGCCTGACCTTTCTGTGACTCTGACTGTAAATGTGATGTTGACCATCTTTCTGTTTTCATATTTTAGGACCCAGATGAAGTGGTGCCAGTTGGCCAGAGAAGAGCCTGGTGTTGGTGCATGTGTTTTGGACTAGCATTTATGCTTGCAGGTGTCATTCTAGGAGGAGCATACCTGTACAAATATTTTGCACTTCAAGTAAGTGTGAAAATGCTAAGAACTTTTTTGCCTTTCCTTAGAAAGTTGCTCTAAGCCTGCATTTCAGTCTGTGGCCTTTAACCAGAGTGGTGGTCCTATTTTGAGGGTATGTTTAAAAGTCTCCTGAACCTATTGGCCTAGTTTTTAGACTGACAGCCTTTTAGACTGACAGACAGGAATACACTGGGGTACTTCTCTTTGCCTCTTTCTCAGTCATTAGTTTCTCCAAAGAATTGTGTGACTTCAGCAGTAATGTTGAAGTAACTTAAGATGGAGGTTATTTGAAACTTAAGTATTTAATAGTAATCCTAACGGGTTAATTTCAGATTTTTCTTTAGATTATAATTATCATCCCTGTTTGGTGATAAATTTTTCTGGGCAGTAATTCAATAGGTTTATTATTTTTCTTTAAGGAATCTTGAAGGATGAGCTTTTATGACTGACTACCTCAAACGTTTTAATATTTTTAAAATTTAGAGAAAATATAAAATTTGAATAATTAAAATAACTAAATTATTTTAATGAAATTGCTATTTAATTAAATCTAATTTAATTAAATAGATTTAATTAGAATATTTTAAGTAACTGATTTTGAACTCTTCTGCCAGAAGATGTATAAATTTCATGCTCATTTTCTTTGTTTTTCAAGATGACAGTGTGTTAATAGATATTAATGAAATACCACTTTGTTGAAAACGATTTTTATAAGAAATATATTTAATAAAGGAAAAATAATTTGCAGTTTCACTATCTAGAGATATTTGTTGTCTTAATGTTTTGTTAAATACTCTTGGTCTTTATTACACATGTATACTTTTTACAATATTTGTAATTTGGTGTAATGTGATATTTTCCACTTAATTGTGATATATTTTAAGGAAAAAAACCAGACCTGTATACCTGTGAAAATTTCAGAAAAAGTATTCCTCTTTTGGCTAATACGAGAAAAATTATTGAATCAGTGAATCATATCAAAAGTTTTAAAAGTATGTTTTTTCAGAAGAAACATGCAAAATGCCTATAGGTAGAAATAGGCCTATATGTTTCTTCAAATTTGCTTGTCATCAGATGGATAATTGCTTTTATATTCTATTTTTGTGCATCACAAAAAGGGGAAATTGGCTGCTTTTCTCCTGAATCTGTTTTTTTACAAAACCTCAAAACCTGATCTTAAAGAACATGTGAATTCTGTAATTAAACTGTCTGACTTATCACTAAAAGTAAGAGTTTATAAGCAAACTACTATTTAGATAGAGGTGACAGCTTAAGTAATGCTTACATTTAGAAACCTGTCTGCCACTGAATTACCGAAATAGTGTTTAAATTCTCTATAGCCAGATGATGTGTACTACTGTGGAATAAAGTACATCAAAGATGATGTCATCTTAAATGAGCCTTCTGCAGATGCCCCAGCTGCACGCTACCAGACAATTGAGGAAAATATTAAGATCTTTGAGGAAGATGAAGTTGAATTCATCAGCGTGCCTGTCCCAGAGTTCGCAGACAGTGATCCTGCCAACATTGTTCATGACTTTAACAAGGTGAGCCAGGTGTCCCAAATTGTGAAAAGAATGCAAGTTCTTAATACTTTTTTAGTTTTAATTTCTATATTTGCTAATTCATTCTATTTAGATTTATTTTTTACTTGAAAAAATAAACTTGGGTTTTTCCTGTCCTACAAAATAAACTCAATATTTGATGGGCTTGTTAATCTATTTTTAAGTTTTCATTTTGCATTTTCCCCCAGCTATTCAGAATTGGTGTGCAATGCAGAAAAGTTGATTTCCCAAATTCTCCACCTGATTACAAAATATTATCATTTTCTTCATCTCTTTTTCTCATATTTGTCTCATAACTCCTAGATACTTAAGCTGTTATCTCTTTAAGAATGAGGATTTAGTCTGCATAGCCACGTAATTACCAATCTAAGAAAATTAACAAGGTAATAGATATAGTATTATTTGATATTTAGTTGATATTTAAATTCCCTCAATAATTTTTGTGCCAAGAATGTTTTGTTTTTTTCAAATCTGGATTCAGAAGTTCTCATGTTACTTGTAGATTTTATATCAGCATATGTTTGCCATTTTGAAGACTGAGGCATATTGCTGAAGTTAGCTTTACAGACATTTCATCCCTGATAAAATACATCTGATGAATGTTTGTTAGCCAATTTGGAAAGTCACTTAACTTCAAAGTAATAAACTTAATCCAAAGCAAGTAGTAAATAATAATAGCTAATACTTACGGAGCTCTTAAAAATCTAAATGTTTATTTACATGGTTTACTTAACTCATTTGAACCCTCAAAACTATCTATTCACAGTCTTTCTAACCAGGATTTCTTGCACAAATCACAAGAATACAGACAATTATTCAATTGTCTGTTAATTCAATTCTGTAAGGATAGTATTAATTGGTGCTATTCTAGATGCATAGGAGAGAAGTTCATTTTTACATACAACGGATGGATGCCTTGGAGGGCATTAGGGTTTATAAGTGAGGGAACTAACTGAATATATTAATCAGGTGATAGGTTTTCTGCAGTTAATTTTAATAGTTTATCATCAGTTATTATAGAAACAAACCCCTGATAAGAATTTTACTTCTTAGTAGCAATAATTTTTCTTCCACCATTACTACTTTCCTTCCTATTGCTACAAAGTCTTGATTTGTTGACGTACAAGTGATTCACACATTCTAAAGCCAACCCATTGTAATGGTACATGTTATTCTTAAAAGTCCAGTTGTTGCCTGTGTTATAAATATTAATTTAATAAAAATGCATCTTTTTCTTCTCAGAAACTCACAGCCTATTTAGATCTTAACCTGGATAAGTGCTATGTGATTCCTCTGAATACTTCCATTGTTATGCCACCCAGAAACCTGCTGGAGTTACTTATTAACATAAAGGTATACAATTTTAAAATACTATTAATGATGCTGCTGTAGCATCCTGAAATTTCTTTTTGAGAAACTAGCCTTATAGAGTCCCATTTCACTGGAAGCATAGCTAAGAAGAACTGGGACTCATGGTTTTGTTTGTTTCCCTTCTAATTTTGAAATTAAAATATAATTTGGAAATTATATTTAAGCTTTCCTAAAGGGACAGAAAATAAATAGGAGGCTTTCAAGAAGTGAGACCTGTGTTACAGCCCTGGCTGGTGTGGCTCAGTAGACTGGGGCCTGCAAACCAAAAGGTTCGATTCCCAGTAAGGGCACATGCTGGGTTGTGGGCCCAGTTCCCAGTAGGGGGTGCATGAGAGGCAACCTCATATTGATATTTGTCTCCCTTTTTCTTCCTCCCTTACCCTCTGTCTTAAAATAAATAAAATCTTAAAATCTGTGTTACAACTATTCAATTCTGATACCGTAGACAATATGTAAACAAAAGGGCATAACTGTTTCTCAATAAAATTATATAAAAACAGATGGTAGGCAGTAGTTTGCCGGCATCTATTCCACTATAATTTTTAGGAATTTTGTGTATTTTCCTTGTCTGTTCAACATAGGCCTTGAGATACTTATATAATATATTCTTTTTCAAATATAGGCTGGAACCTATTTGCCTCAGTCATATCTGATTCATGAACACATGGTTATCACTGATCGCATTGAAAATGTTGACCACCTGGGTTTCTTTATTTATCGACTGTGCCATGACAAGGAAACTTATAAATTGCAACGCAGAGAAACCATTAAAGGTAATACTTTCTAAAGTGCTAGCAGAAAAGTTTGTTTTACTTCATTGTGTTAAACTGTATTTAGGTATGGGCTTGTCATTGTTACCAATATGCTTGCCATGAGTGAAGGAAAAAAAATCTCCTTTATCATTGTGTAATATTTGTAGATTTCTGAAGAATCGTCTTGACTCTTAAGTCCACTCTTTTCAGAAAGAACAGGTGAATGTGAAATATCATTACCTTGTTACTCTCTGTAGTCACCCAGTCCAACTTTCCATCCTACCCCTTTGGTACAGCCATACTGCAAGGGTTCTTTTTATCCGATAGGTCTCTGGAGAAGCTCTTCAGCTGTGTGCTAAGGGATCTAGATTCTAAACAGGTTGTTTGCCTTTTGAATCTTGTTGAAGATAACAACAGGTTAATTACTAAGGTATTTGGCTGAAGAATTAAGAGCATTGACACAACTAATATGGCTTTACCAAATCACTTAAAACTTTGCTTTTTCATCTGAAGAAATAAGGATTATAGTATCTCCCCATTTCCTTTGAAGATTATTATAAGAATTAAATGAAAGTACATGTGACAGAGTTGTAAGAAAGGAAGAAGTGACATTTATATACACTGTGGTGTGATTTCTTTGGAACTGCAGTAACCAGTAAAAGTGCTTTCCTGGCTTTTGTTAGTACTTTTAATAATAGTGTTCTTTACCTGGGCTAATGAGCCACCTGAAACCTCCTCCTTGATTTCTCAAATTTTTAAATTATCTTCATGATTCATACTTTTTAAAAAAAGTCAGGCGAAATGCATATAATGAAATACTTTCTTTTTAGTGTGAAGTTTCAACAAATCACAACCATAGTCAAGATACATTTCAAAGTTTACACATATAGCATTGTTATTTGTTACTAAGATCTGGTAAGACAGTTCAGATAGGAGGAAAATTATTATCTCTAATGTTAAGAAATCAAACTATAGACATTCATAGAATATAGAGTAAAGTGTTTTCATATATGTCTAATAACCATGGGGATTAATCTCTGTTGTTATTACTAAAGAATCAAAAATTTAAAAACTTTCCCCTCCCAAACAGGTATTCAGAAACGTGAAGTCAGCAACTGTGTTACGATTCGGCATTTTGAAAACAAATTTGCTGTGGAAACTTTAATTTGTTCTTGAACAGTCAAGGAAAAGTTGGAGAAAAATTTAATATTACAGCATAAGCCTACCCTTTGTATTTTGTGCAGTGATTATTTTTTAAAATCTTCTTTCATGTAAGTAGCAACCCCAGGCTTCACTATCTTTTCATTTCATTAATTCAATTAAAACCATTTCCTATTAAAAATCTTTTCTTCTTTCCTAGTGTGGTCTCTTTTATCTTTGAGTTAGTAGTTGTATAAAATCATAGATAATAGTACACTGCACCATATATTTTAGGTATAGAGGATTTATGTTTTCATTACGCATTTTCCAGAGGAATGGTTTAAAGAATAATCATATAAATGCATACATAAAGATGGACTACCATGACCTATTTGTAGTTGTTAGTTGCCCTGCTACTTAGTTGGTAGAGCATTTGAGCACACAATTTAATTTTTCTTTAAAGTATGCAGTATTTTCAGTGTCATATTTAACTATTTAGAGTATGATTTCCACCTCTGTGTTTTAATATCTTAAGCATCTGCTGTAATAACATTTTAGAAAATGTTTGAAATTTAAGAAATAACTTGTGTTATTAATTTGTATAATCCTTATATGTGCAATGTAATATAAATATCAAAAGTTGTTTAACTAAAGGCCTGCGTGTTGTTTTTCTCATGTAATAAAACCAAAGAGTAATTTGGTTCTTCGTATCTTAAGATATAATCCATGTAAAAGAAGACACTTTTTTAAAAATCTAGTTTTCTTTATACAGTAAGATCAGATTTTTAAAAACAATAAGCTTCTTAAATAACTATATTTCATGAATACTATTAAAGTAACATCTAAGACTCTCAACTTGGAAAGGTGCAGTTTTAATACATTTTAAAATAATGATTTTATATTTAATGGAAGGGCTTTTATTAAACCTAAAGTTTCTAAGTAGCATAAAATACAGTGCTTTTCTGAGTATGTCTCCTCACAAGGGGAACATTTTGAGTTTTGGTGGTGATTTTTATTTTATCTCTAAGGTTGCTTTTTATGCAAAATAATTCAGAATTTACTGCCATTTAAAATACCTAAGAATAATTTTGTTGCAGATTTCCAAGACAAAAAAAATATTTCTGAATTTAGGAAGTCAGAATTTTTAAAGCCTCACAGACCCATAAAAGACTTACCTAGAAACCATTTCTACTCTAAAAGGATGTTATGTGATTCCTGGCTCTTGGTTTCATTTCAGTAATATTGTAAAAGCTTTGGACTAGCCAGTCAGATATTCAGGGATTGGGAATTTATTTTAGAAGAGAGTGTGTTCTGATAGATGAAAATAGCTTTTCTCTGCTTTCTAAGGCTCTAAAATTTTGTGGTATTTTAGGAGGCTATGAACATTCAGGAACATGTTTATTTATTCAGCAAATACTTAACTGACCATCCTTTATATGCCTGACACATGAAGTGTTAAGCTTTGAAAATAACGTCTGTGAAGAAGAAGGATAGCTGCTGCCTCATTGGATACTCACAAACTAGTGAAAAGGACTGATGGGTAACCAACTAATTACAACATAGTTGTGATCAATACTATAACAGGGAAGAGCAGGTTTAGCAGTTACATGAGCATTTAGGAGGGATGGTGAGATTCTTAGAATGTAAACTGCATGGGACCAGATCATGGTGGACCCTGTATGCTGTGCTGAGGACTTCATTCAGTAGATCATGGGCCACTATTAAAGGTTTGTATTTTGGAAGGAGCATTTTAGTTTCTGTTTTCCACTGACAGTATTTAGTAATGTTGTATTAGTGGCTTCATCATATTTCAGCATGGCAGCCTCTAGGTTCCCAGGGATCCAGACTTGTCTGCTTTATAACAGTGCCAACTTTTAATCTCCAAACTTGCCATGGAAGCAGATGAGCTAGAATGGTAGATCCTGCAGGGGTTTTATGGCCAGGCCTGGCAGGCATACATCACATCTCTACATTTGCATCAGCTAGTGCTTAGCCAAACAATTCCCACTAAGGGAGATGGGGAAGTGTAATCATCATATGTGTTAGGAAAAAAACCCAAGTGATTTGCTGAACAAATAGCATTGTTTTTGCCACAAATAGACATTATGAATGGATGAAAGGCAAAATAACCTGAAAATAAAGATCAGCTAATTCTACCACCCAGAAAAAAAATCATAAGATTTTAACTATGTGTGTTTAATAACTTGTATTATATTATTACAATAGCACCATATTCATGGTAGGTTTGAAACAAGAAAAGGAAAGACAGTTGTATATTCCCTACTACCAACTCACTGTTTTGAGGTTCTTTTTGTGGTTATTTTCGTATATACAGTTGTTTTTTTTTCTATGTGTCTTTATATCTAAGGTGGGTCATAGACAACATGTAGTTGGATGATGTTTTTTGAATCACTCTGACAATCTGAGTCTAAATTAGTGCATTTAGAACACTGATACTCAGAGTTGGATTCAAGTCCACTGTATTCATTACCATTTTCCGTTTGTTGTTCTTATTCTTTATTCCTATTTTTGTCTTTCACTTTTTCTGCCTTTTGTGGTTTTAATTTAGCATTTTATATGATTCCATTTTTTCTTTTCTTAGTATATCAGTTATACTTTTTAAAGAAACTTCAGAGGTTCTCCTAAAGTTCTCAGTATGCAGTTATAGCTAATCCAATTCCACTTTCAAATAATAGTAAACCACTTCATGGGTAGTATGATTACCTTATAACAACAAAATAATCCTAATTTCTCCTATTCCTTGTATAATTGCCATCAATTCATATGTATACAAGCTTATGCTATATAAGATATATACATAATTGAATACATTGTTGCTATTATAATTTTGAAGTTTTATTAGATCAGTTAATAAAAATAAAATGTTTTATCATGTTTATATCTTCTTCAGTGCTCTGCCTTCCTTTTTGTAGATCTGAGTTTCTGACATTTTTTTCCTTCTCTCTAAAAAACTTGTTTTAACATTTCTTAGCAGCCAGGTCTACTGGTAACAGATTTCATCATGTTTTATCTGGGAAAGTATTTTTCCTTCACTTTCGAAGGATAACTTTGCAGGGTACAGATTCTAAGTTCATGAGGTTTTTATCAACACTTCAAATTTTACTCCATTCTTTCCTCTCCTGCATGGTTTCAGAGAAGTTGAATAAAATTTTTATTTTTTTTCTTCTATTAGGTAAGATTGTTTTTTCCCCGGCTCTGGCTTCTTTAAGTTAGATTTATCTCCTTTCATTTTATTTTATTTTTTTTTGGTAATTTTAAAGTTTCCAGTCCTGTGAGTCTCTGCTCCAGTAAGCTGTGACTCCCTGTACTCTCCTGACTATATTTCCAGTCTCAGAGGCAGCCATTTGTCCCAGGTCCGCCCTTCTCTTACGGATTCATTAAGAGTTGATTTTTCCATTGGTCCAGGTTTTTACTTGTTAGCGCAGAGTGGAAACTTCTTATATATCTCTTTGAAAACATCATTTATCTTCTATTATGTCAAAGAATATTTTATTCCTTACATGTTTTTCTTTACACACATGTACATACGCATACATACATACACATGCCCTCGTCTTCTCACACTCCCAGTGTAGTGACAGGAAAAATTTTCTTCAGTCATTAGTATTTATATTACTGTGATGATACTTAGCTCAAAGCTAAGAAGGGGTGTTAGGGTACCCCATTTTTTGACTACCTTTTTTACTTTCATAATTTCTAATAAATTTAATCATAAATTTCCAATGTTCTCTATCAGGTTGAGTATGTATGCACTAGATTTTTTCTTTCCCAGTTTCGAAGCATACCAGTTCACTTTTTTTGTAGACGTTCTATATAGCTCTGAGTCCTGCTTCACTCTGAACTGAAAACTTTTATAGCTTGCTGTCCAGTATGTCATTTTGGCTTTATACCATTTCCTACACGTGTCTATTTTTCATTCTCTGTTTACTAGATCCAGTATTTCCTTCATGTGTGTATTTCTGTGTGTTTAAAGGGTAGGGGAATTGGTATACATTTTCAATTGGCTTTCTAAGAAAATGTTTTCTTAATATTTACATAATAATTGAGATTTTCAGTCTGAATATGGAAAATTTCTAGTCTATAAGACACATTTTTTTCATTCTAGAAATTTTTTAAAGATTTCATTTATTTTTAGAGAGTAAAAGAGTGAGAGAAACATCAATTGGTCTCTTGCAGGCGCCCCAACTGGAGACCAGACCTGCCATCCAGGCATATCCCCTGACCAGGAATCTCTTGAAATTATTATAGCTTTGCTCTGATACTTCATAATGATATTCCTCATAAATCTTCAGCTTATTAAATGTTCTCATTCAATAATTTCTTCCATTTTTCTTTGTGGAATTTCTAATAGTCTGTTGGACCTCCTAGATTGATTCTCTATGCATCTTTGCTTGATTATTTTCATATCTGTTTTACCGTTCTTTATGGAGGTTTCATTGATTTCATTAATCGGAGTTCTTTCTCTTCATTTCTCAGTTTCTGAATATTGATGTTTGTTTTGTTGTTGTTACTGACCTCTGTTAGTATCCACAGGTCTTTTTTCTGGAGTCCTTAAATCACTAGAAGCAGATTTTTGATTCTGCCTCTTGACATTTTCAACAGGAATTTTTATTCTCCTACCCCAAGTACTGGCCTGGGTAGGTTTAGAATGTCCTCATGCTCTTACCTGTCTGGCAACCTTTTCGATCACTTTTCTCTCTGCCTTGCTGGCATGGACTTCTTTTCCCCAGCACCCTTGAATTATTAGACTTTAAAGTTTATTGATGCCAGTAAATGAAATGACTACTTAAATTGAAAAGGCTTATGATTTTCTACAACATAATGGTTTCATTAGAATTTTTCAAGATTTTAGTATAATCATATTACAAAACACTTATTCAAAACATTTACAATCATTGATTTAACCAGATTGGTCTAATGTGGCGCCCATGATTTTACTCCATTTCCATCACTAGTAAGACAATTTTCCTTATTGAGAGTCAGTTGAATAAAGGTACCCTTCTCACCCAAGCCTTGTCAGCTGTCTGTCAGGATTTTGGAACTTCAACTGAGATTCGGGAGTGTACCCTTTGAATTCATGTGCCATGCCCAAGAGTGCATGCAGTCTTAGTGTGGCCATGGGCTTGGAAAAACCAGAAGCTCTGGAGAGTAAAAATGAGAGGATGACCAAGAATCCGATGTGCAGAGAGGACTGCTTA